GTTGTGTTAAAAATTTAGTTAAGGCTAAATTTAAAGGGCATGGTGGCTCACAACTGTAGTCCCAGACCAGCTGAGGTGGGCAGATTGCTTGAGCTCAGGAGTTAAAGACCAGCCTGGGCAATGTGGCCAAACCCCGTTTCTACAAAAATTAGTCTGGCATGGTGGTGTGCACCTCTGGTCCCAGCTATTGCGGAGGCTGAGGTAGGAGGATTGCTTGAACCCAGGAGGTTTAGGCTGCAGTGAGCTGTGATTGTGATTGCGCCACTGCACTCCAGACTGGGTGACAGAGCAAGACTCTGTCTCCAAAAGAAAAAAGTTATATATTGCCAAACCATACTCCAAAAAGGTTATATGTGTTTATCGTTATGCTAACCATATACGAGACTTTCCTAAATCAGCCCTCTGTCTTTCTCTGCTATCTCAGCTGGAGAAGCGACTGGAGGAGTGGTTGGGGAGGACATTGCCTGGCAGTGACTGGACACCCAATGCCTGGTTTATCACACGTTCTTGGCTTCGGGATGGCCTCAAGCCACGCTGCATAACCCGAGACCTCAAATGGGGAACCCCTGTACCTTTAGAAGGTTTTGAAGACAAGGTAAAAACCCTTTTTTATTCATATCAAATTATGCAGTCTTGGTGTTGAGACCCTGGGCTAGCAGAATAGACTGCTGATTATGTCTTGTTTCAGTCTGAGACTTTGGATTGGTCCCTAACATGTTTCCCTTTACCTGACCCTCCAGGTATTCTATGTCTGGTTTGATGCCACTATTGGCTATCTGTCCATCACAGCCAACTACACAGACCAGTGGGAGAGATGGTGGAAGAACCCAGAGCAAGTGAGCAGTTTTTGGTTAGGCTGTGCATGGGAGGGGAAGGTGGTAGGTTGGGGGTGGTAGGGTTGGGTGTCTGGTCTTCCTTAGGCCTTTGAAGGTCTCAGGAAATCTCTCCTAAATACATTCCCCTAGGTGGACCTATATCAGTTCATGGCCAAAGACAATGTTCCCTTCCATGGCATAGTCTTTCCTTGTTCAGCCCTAGGAGCTGAGGATAACTATACTTTGGTCAGCCACCTCATTGCTACAGGTAGGTGCCCTGGAAAACTCCCGATGGGGTGTTCATAGGAAATGGGGGTTGAGGCAGTACTCAGAAAAAGATCTTGGAGAGATGCTGTCTTGAGTTAGGAGTTGAGATGAAATTGGGAATAACGAGAACTCAACCTAGAGAAAGGAAACAAGAACCTGAAGAAAGCAAAAGTCCAAGGCTAAAACTTTGTAGTAGATATAAGCAAAGAGAAAAAGGGCCAGAATGGATAGGAAGGGACTCCCAAAATATGAGCATACCAGCCACTCAAGGAGAAATGTTGTTGGACACTGATAGTTGAGGTTAGGAAGAGGAAAAAAAGAAGAGTTAGCGGGCTAGAGACAGGAAGGATGTGATTTGAGCAGATGGTTCTTATTCTCCTCTGTCCAGAGTACCTGAACTATGAGGATGGGAAATTCTCTAAGAGCCGGGGTGTGGGAGTGTTTGGGGACATGGCCCAGGACACGGGGATCCCTGCTGACATCTGGCGCTTCTATCTGCTGTACATGCGGCCTGAGGGCCAGGACAGCACTTTCTCCTGGACGGACATGCTGCTGAAGAATAATTCTGAGCTCCTTAACAACCTGGGCAACTTCATCAACAGGTAGGACGTGGTAAGGGGTAAGAGTTAGCAGTGAGCCGGGATGGGGCTCATTTTCCCTCAGGAGAGGGGAATGTGGAGAGAACTAGGAAATGAGCAGGAGGCTGTGAGGACAGTGTGGAAAGTTGATTTCTATTAATTGGGATCTGTTCTAGCACATGCGAGGCTATGTATGCTTGGTGGAACAGTTAGCTACAGAGATGTGATTTAGCAAAGTTGGTTATAAAGTGGGTTTTTGTAAATTGTTTTCTTATTAATGTTCTTTGTAGAATTGAAGAGGTATTATCTCCTAGCAAAATAGTTCACCTGCAGATCACTGAAAAGTTTGGCTGAAGAAAGGGGTTATTTTGGTGTGGGGATAGGAGGCTTCTGTGGGCTGGGCATTGTGGCTTATGTCTGTAATCCTAGTACTTTGGGAGGCTGAGGCAGGAGGACCACTTGAGGCCAGGAGTTCAAGACTTGTCTGAGCAACACAGTGAGTCTCCCATCTCTACAAAAAAAAATCAGCCAGGCGTGGTGGCACATATCTGTAGTCCCAGCTACTCAGGATGCTGAGGCAGGATGATTTCTTGAGCCCACGAGATTGAGGCTACAGTGAGCAGTGCTTATGCCACTGCACTCCAGCCTTGGCAAAAGGGTCTGTCTCCAAAAAAAAAACAAAAAACAAAACAAAAAAAAAGCTTCTGCTATACTCTTCATTGAGTGTTTTTGTTATCTTAGGCTCACATTCTATCATTGGTCCCTATCTCAGCTCTTCTGCAATCTAATGCAGTACCCTCTGTAGCTCAGGATTCTTCAGTCACTCTCTCTGAGCCCCCTGTACCCTTATAGGTCAGTCCTATTCACTTTCAGCTTTGGTCATTAACCACATTTAATAAATGGTCCTTATCTACAGGAGTTTGAGACCAGCTAGCCAACCTGGTGAAACCCCGTCTTCACTAAAAATACAAAGATTAACCAGGCATGGTGGCACACGTCTGTAATCCCAGCTACTTGGGAGCCTGAGGCAGGAGAATCACTTGAACCCAGGAGGCGGATGTTGCAGTGAGCACTGTGCACCAGCCTGGGCAACAGAGTGAGATGCCTTCTCAAAAAATAAAATAAAAATAAGTAAATAGTCCTTACTTAAGAGTATTTGTTTGATAGCAATGAACACATATTTCAACTTGTCATTTTGAGTATTGACTTCTTAAAAATAAGTACAGTTGCTTAATCAGGTTTCTTTATGTGCAGAGTCAGATTCTTAGGGGAGAGACAGAGTAAAGAATTAATTTGTTAAGCTTTGCCTACTAGTTTGAGGGAGCCAGGAGGTATCTGTTCCCAGGCAGGAATCCTGAGAGAATGTACAGTTGTGGAAATTGGGTGAAATTCTAACAAGGAGACTGGATAATAACTTCCCCTCTTTTCTCCACTTCTTTCCTACTCCCAACCAAGAGCCGGGATGTTTGTGTCTAAGTTCTTTGGGGGCTATGTGCCTGAGATGGTGCTCACCCCTGATGATCAGCGCCTGCTGGCCCATGTCACCCTGGAGCTCCGGCACTATCACCAGCTGCTTGAGAAGGTTCGGTAGGTAACTGACACCTCTGTCTCATCTGCTGGCATGCTGAGAGCCTTGTATTGGCCCCTGTAGGACAGTACACTGTGACCTGCTTCCTCCTCTCCCAGGATCCGGGATGCCTTGCGCAGTATCCTCACCATATCTCGACATGGCAACCAATACATTCAGGTGAATGAGCCTTGGAAGCAGATTAAAGGCAGTGAGGCTGACAGGTAGGTAAGCGGGGAGGGTTGGCTAAAGGATAACGTGGCTTGTAGCCTGTATCCTCCTGGAGGTCTTGACTAATATCTCTTCTTCCTCAGGCAACGGGCAGGCACAGTGACTGGCTTGGCAGTGAATATAGCTGCCTTGCTCTCTGTCATGCTTCAGCCTTACATGCCCACGGTTAGTGCCACAATCCAGGCGCAGCTGCAGCTCCCACCTCCAGCCTGTAGTATCCTGCTGACAAACTTCCTGTGTACCTTACCAGCAGGACACCAGATTGGCACAGTAGGTGGAAGAGCCAGTCTCTCTTAAAATTGATACTCTTGCCATGCAGCTTTTGGAGTGGGTGAGAGAAGACCTAACATACCTCCAGTGTTACTTTGGGGATGGGACTCTTAAATCTCTGATACAAAGTCCTTGGTAGTTGTTCGCAAGTCCAGAGTTATCTGTACATCCTCTTGCTCTTCATGCCAGAAACCAGACCTGGCATGCCAAACTAACCAGTAGACAGATGTCTGAAGAAACACTGTGATCACCTGGTCTCCATAATGCTAGCAGTGGGCAGGGAAAATACAGGATAGCCATTTTCTCTTTGACACAAGATGAAAAATTAGGTACATCACTAAGTTTCTGGATCAGCCTAACATCCTCAGCTTAAAAATCTTTGACCCTATAAATTCTTTGGGCTTTCAGAGAAAGCGGACACTAATTTCCTAAAATCAGTGGATATTAGCTCAGGGTTATGCTCATTTTTTCTAAAACACATCAGAGATTGGGGTTGGAAAGGTCATTTATATAGTCAGGTTGAGTCTGTATCTATCTCAGTGTTATGCTCGGAGTCATTAATCCAGTGTTGTTCTGGAACTCTTTTTTTTACAGGTCAGTCCCTTGTTCCAAAAATTGGAAAATGACCAGATTGAAAGTTTGAGGCAGCGCTTTGGAGGGGGCCAGGTGAGAAAGCAAAAGGCTGTGCTCTCACTCCACAGCAGCCACAGCATCACTTCCTTAATTTCCCTAAGTAGTCCTTACCCATCACTCTTTCCATCTTTTGGCCCTGCCACTTCCTCACTTACAGTTTCTCTTTCCTGTCTTAGCTAGAAGAGACCCTCGACTTAAAGGTAATCACTTTCCCTCTGAGATGCTGTATAAAACTGGAGGTTAGGGGATATATATGGTAGCTGGTGATAACTTTGTTGTTCTCCTCCAGGCAAAAACGTCTCTGAAGCCAACAGTTGCAGAGACTGGCACAACAGCCGGGCCCCAGCAGATACAAGCACTGATGGATGAAGTGACGAAACAGGTATGAAGCTTAAGCCCTGTGGGAGACTGGAAAAGCTGAATCCTAAATAGGTCTTTTTCTTGCCTCACTGTTATTCTCCCCACTCCCCTTTATCTTAGGGCAACATTGTTCGAGAACTGAAAGCACAAAAGGCAGACAAGAACCAGGTTGCTGCGGAGGTGGCTAAACTCTTGGATCTAAAGAAACAGTTGGCTGTAGCTGAGGGGAAACCCCCTGAAGCCCCTAAAGGCAAGAAGAAAAAGTAAAAGACCCTTGGCTCATAGAAAGTCACTTTAATAGATAGGGACAGTAATAAATAAATATACAATCTCTATATACAAGCTGAGACCCTTTCTTTTGTCTAACTCCAAGCCTCCTCCCTGAATATGTGGTATGGAGGGTCACATCATTGGCACTAGTGAGAGGGTGGTCAGTAGCCACTTCTGAGAAAAGCGGGTAGTGTGGTCCGGGTTGGGGAGTGATGGTCCCAACCGTTCATGCTTGGTGCAGATTCACCATTCGGTCAATCAGAGCTCGCCGGGTCACCTCTACTTCCCTGGTCAGGCGCTCGATTTCCTGCTTGAGCCGCTCATTCTCTTCAGCTAGCTGTGCCACTTTCCTTTCATTCTCCTGTTCTTTCTCCTTCATGCGTTGCTTTCCAGCCCGGGCTGGCAAGTGGCCACTCTGTTTCCGTTTCCTGTTTCTCCCTTGGTCTTCCTCTTCCTCCTGAGCCAGGGAGCTCTGACTGGAATCTGGAGAGCAAGGGCTCTGGGAGGTGCTTGTGACCTCTGCTGGTCCTGGCTCCTCCTCAGAGGTCAGCCAAGCAAGAGAGGCAGGGTCAAGAGTGGTGAAGGTTTTTGATTCTTCCTTCAAGGAAATGAGGAAAGGGGGCGGAGATATTATTTGAGAAGGGAAAGGTAACATCCCCCTTTAGCTTTAGGCCTAGCATTCTTACCTCTTCATTTCCAGGAGGTGAGACACAGGTACCTCCATTTTCATCTGAAGACAGGACCTCTTGCAGGTCCTCATACCAGGCTTCCAGCTCCCAGCTGGACAGTGTCCCGAAGGAGAAAGGCAGTGACTCAGCTGCCATCTCTGCAGTTGGATCAGTCTGGAAAAGCATATTTGCAGGGTAATGGGGAGTGGGTGGACAAACAGGTTGGCAAGCTGGTCTGATGCCTGTTTTTGTAGATAAAGTCGTATTGGAACACAGCCACATCTGTGTATTTACGTATTATGGCTGCTTTTGTGCTGCAGTGGCAGAGATGAATAGTCATGCTGGAGACTATAGGACTCTTGACATGTAAATAGTTACTATCCTGCCCTTTAAAATTTACCAACCCTTAGTCTATATGAATATTCCCGCCTTGCTTTTGCCCAGGACTTGAAAAAGCAAAGTGCCTAGATGTCCATGCTTAGAGGATCTGGAGGACTAGTCAGAATCCTCAGTCCTCATCAAGGTTAGGCTGAGCTGAAGGACTATTTGCCTGAGCTCCCCACACAGGAGAAGGGAGCACAGAGGACCTGGTACTTGCCCTGCAAACTACCAATAGAATTCCCAAGTGGGACTGAGGACTAGTAAAAGTTTAACCTTAATGGGGACTGAATACTGGTAAGGCAGACCCGTCTTTGTTGGGGCTTTCTGTGAGGACCATCTTTCCATTAGGAGGCTTTTTTTTTGAAATGGAGTCTTGCTCTGTTGCCAGGCAGGAGTGCAGTGGCACAATATCAGCTCAGCACAACTTCCACCTCCCAGGTTCAAGCAATTCTGCCTCAGCTTCCCAAGTAACTGGGACTACAGGTGTGCGCCACCACACCCAGCTAATTTTTGTATTTTTAGTAGAGAAGAGGTTTCACCATGTTGGCCAGGATGGTCTGGATTTCCTGACCTCGTGATGTGCCCGCCTCGGCTTCCCAAAGTGCTGGGAACCACTGCGCCCGGCCATCATTAAGACATTCTTTAAGAACAGTGGTTTGTTCACCGTGTTAGGAGCAAGCCAGAATAGCCTGACAGCAAAACCTTGCTCAGATTCAAACTCTCCTCTCCCACCTTCTCTAGGTCTTTTCATAATCTCTTAGGGTCTCAGCAAAAGGAGTCTAAACAGCATCTCTTAGGACTTGATTTTGGGAAAGGGCAGGTTAAGTTTACCTGCTTTCAGGTGTGGTGATGTATGAAGATACACTTCCTCCTTGAACACTGTGGGTAACAAAGAGAAATGTTAGCCATTTTTGGAAGGGGGAGAGGCAACTCATTTTTCTTTTATCTCCAGCCTCCTACAGGTCCTTCCTTCCTTCTGGTCTTGTGGGGTATGCATACTTAATGGTCCCTGTAGTCATTTCCAAGGGCAGAAGAGGACCTGACTTCCTTTATTTTTAGTTGCTGACATTTGTAGTCTGGTTACATAATAGCAAAGTCCTGGCCAACTCAGCTTTCTCTAAATTCAAGGCAGGCCTCAAACCTGCCAGGGTAAAGACTAAACTACAGGGAAAGGAACAAATCGTGGCATTTTCCTAACTTCATTCCCACACTGACATCCTCCAAATGTACATTTCCAGTCTAGACCTCTTCCAGAACTTCGGATGCTGCTGTCTACTGCCTACCTGCCATTTTTTTGTTTATGTCTTATAGGCATCTTTTAGACTATGTGCAAAGGCAAACTTGCTGATTTTCCCCTTTCAAGGTCATCCCCATCTCAGTAGATGACAACTCTAGTTGCTTAAGCCAAAAACCTCGATTTTCATACTTTATTCCTCTTCTCTCATACCCTGCAATCCAATCCAAAGTACTAGCAAATTTTAATTTTTTTTTTTGAGATAAGACTCTGACTTTTTTTCCCAGGCTGGATTGCAGTGGTGCAATCTCAGCTCACTGCAACCTCCACCTCCTGGGTTCAAGCAATTCTCCACCCTCAGCCTCCCAAGTAGCTGGGATTACAGGTACACACTACCATGCCTGGCTAATTTTTGTATTTTTAGTAGAGATGGGGTTTCACCATGTTGGCCAGGCTGGTCTTGAACTGCTGACCTCATGTAATCCACCCATCTCTGGCCTCCCAGAGTGCTAGGATTAAAGGCAAGAGTCACCATGCCCGGCTCTTACCTCATTCTTTAAAAATGAGTTTTTAAAACCTTTGCTTAGCTTCCGGTCCTAGGAGCTTTGGGAACCGTGGCTTAGGTGCAGACATGGCCAAGTCCAAGAACCACACCACACACAACCAGTCCCGAAAATGGCACAGAAATGGTATCAAGAAACCCCGATCACAAAGATACTAATCTCTTAAAGGGGTGGACCCCAAGTTCTTGAGGAACATGCGCTTTGCCAAGAAGCACAACAAGAAGGGCCTAAAGAAGATGCAGGTCAACAATGCCAAGGCCATGCGTGCACATGCCGAGGCCATCAAGGCCCTCGTAAAGCCCAAGCAGGTTAAGCCCAAGATCCCAAAGACTGTCAGCCTCAAGCTTGATCAACGTGCCTACATTGCCCACCCCAAGCTGGGGAAGCGTGCTAGTGCACCCATTGCTAAGGGGCTCAGGCTCTGCCGGCCAAAGGCCAAGGCCAAGACCAAGGATCAAACCAAGGCCCAGGCTGCAGCTCCAGCTTCAGTTCTAGCTCAGGCTCTCAAAGGTGCCCAGGCCCCTACAAAGGTTTTAGAGTAGATATCTCTGTCTGCCAATGTGAGGACAGGACTGGTGCGACCCCCCTGGGCTGCCATCTGCATGGGGCTGGGGTCCTCCTGTGCTATTTGTACAAATAAACCTGAGGCAGGAAAAAAAAAAACCTTTGCTTAGAAGAATATAAACACTTCTCATTAATTCCATTGTTGCCTATCTAGATCGATTTACCACCACCTCTCTGTTACTGCAGAAACTTCCTGATTGCAGAAGATCTCCCCATTTCTTCTCTTGCCACCCCTCCTGAAGTCTATTCACCATAAAGCTGCCTGGGAGGAGCCTTTTAAAACAGGTCATTCCTCTGCTCAAAATCCTCCAGTGAATTCCTATTTCATGTCATGGAAGTCACTGGAGGGTTTTGAGCAGAGGTTTACCTAAGGTAATTACTGACCACCTGAGTAAAACTGTAACCTGAACAGTCTCCATTCCTTTCTCTACTTTAGCGTTCTCCACGGCACTTTTATTCTGTTTACTGTACACGCCTCCTACTGAGATGATTTTTCCTCTTGCTCACGGATGTACCCTGAGCCCCAGACTGTTTGGTACACAGTAGGTCTTCATTAAGTATTTGTTAAGAATGAACAGGTAAATTCCCCCCAGTCACTCTTACAGGGAAGGGACAGGCAGAGCGGCAGCTGCGATCCCTAGGGACTGGAGATGCAATATTGCTCAGAGTATTTCTCTGCAGGGCTGTCCTCCCTGGGGAACCCTCCCTTGCCTTCCAGTGTGTGGGACTTGGCTTTCATCAGCAGTGGAGCCTCAGGTCAGAGGGCTGCAGAGCCAAACAGGGGGCTGGCCTGATGCAATGGTTACACAGAGATTAGTTGGGAGATGGGACGGGGTAGAGACAGGGACTAATCCCGAGGGAAGGGCGGTACCCTGGGGAGACCCCAAGTGGCCTCCCACACAAGAGATCCAGGCTGCTCTCTTGTGCGGGAGGCTAAGAGACCTCTAGGGCGAAGGGAAAACACACCGTTCCCTGTCCATCGGCACCCCTCCTCTCAAAGGCTTATGTCAGTCTCCTCAGGGTTCTCCTATCTCCTGCAGGTCCAGTAGAGCCCCAGCTACCGAGGTGGCCATGCTGACACCAGAGGCGCTGGGGCTGAGACAGGATTGGGGGTGGGGTAGGGAGAAGGCCACTGGTGGTGAAGCCGCGGAAACGGCTTGAGCGATGGTCGCCCAGTCTTAGAGCAGGGGTGTGTCCTGTCGCCCTGCCTCCCACCGGACAGGCCTAACGAGGTGGCCTGTAGTTGGCTACGGAAGAGAATGAATTTCCCAAGGGCAGCCGAGGCCCCTTTGCCCAGCAGCACAGAGCAGGGCCCATGCTCCAGGCAGAAATGGAGTGACGCTGTCGTCCGAAACAATACTGGTTTGTAAGCACTACCGCAGAATAAGGGATTCTCCTCATCCCTCTCTCGGACGGTCCCTAACTTCACGGTGGAGGGGTGAGGCCAATCCCAACCCCTCACTTTGAGGAGCCCCAACTTTGAGGAGACGGGAGGGTAAAGGGTAAATAGGATTCAGTACTCGCCTCTCTCCTCAGGTTCCAGCTCTGATTTTGGCTCTGTCGCTGCCACCCGCTCATCTTCAACATGATATTTTCCGTGCCTTAGACTTAAGCCTCTGACCTAGGGATCGCCTAGCTGTAATCTTTTACAATGGCCTTGCCCTCCTCTCAGGGGCGGGACCCAAAAATAAACCTATCAGAAAGTGGCACGCCGACATTGGCCCCGCCTCGTCCCTTGCATCCGCCACTCAGGAGCCCCGCGGCACCGCCCCCGTCGCTCTCTCCCGCTAGGGGGTCGACGTAGTGTCGGACCCGGAAGTGGCTTTGGGTCACGAGGCTTCACAGAGGCGGTGGGTGAGTCATGCGCGCGCGCGGAGGGGAGTGTAGAGGGGGGAGGGGAAGAAAGGGGGGCGGGGATGATGCAATGTTTGGCAACCGGCGTCTGCACGCGCACGCGCAGGGGACAACGAGGGTGGTGGTAGGTGCGGAGGGTGGGGGAGAGGAGAGAGGGCGGGGCGCCAGCTCCCGGCGCCCAACGGCCTCAACGGCTATCAGCCTTGGCCGCCCCTAGTCGGCTGTGTGGAGCCTCTTTGCCGCTCCTCTCCCCCCAGGAGCTGCTGTTCCGCCCACTAGCATTAGCCCCCCGTTTTACCTCCACCTTAAGGGACTCCCATTTTCCTTGGCCCCTCCCAGATAATGGGCACATAGGCCTTTTGAACTTCTTTGAAAGTTGGTATCCATCCACCGAGATTGTCCACATCTCGAGTCTTCTTAAAGGGGTCTCCTGGCCGGGCGCGGTGGCTCACTCCTGTAATCCCAGCACTTTGGGAGGCCGAGGCGAGCGGATCACTTGAGGTCAGGAGTTCGAGATCAGCCTGACCAACATGGTGAAACCCCCGTCTCTACTAAAAATACAAAAATTGGTCGGGTGTTGTGATGCGCGCCTGTAACCCCAGCTACTCGGGAGGTCGAGGCAGGAGAATCGCTTGAACCCGGGAGGCGGGAGGTTGCAGTGAGCCGAGATTGTGCCACTGCACTCCAGCCTGGGTGACAGAGTGAGACTACGTCTGACCAAAAAAAAAAAGGGCGGGGGGAGGTGGTCTCCTAGCCCCGTAAATCTCCCAAAAGGGGCAGAGGTACTGGAATCCCTTGGTAATCGTTTTCCGCTTCTCTCAGAACAGCGCCTGTGACTTTTACCTTGTAGTTGCTAAGTCCTCAGCAAGCCAGAAGTATGTATTTTGCCCAGTGGACCCGATTCTGTTTGGCCACCTATTTTTCCTCACGGTACTCTTACGCCTTTCTCCAAGACCAAGACCCTCTCTTGCTGTACCAGACAGCAAGTCCTGTGACTCACTGCTGTGAGGAGCGCGGCACAGGCCTGCCTCCTAGAAGTTTGGGTCGAGATTTACGGCGGAGCCTTGTCCTGGGACGTGAGAGGGCACTTCAGCGCAGGAGTGCCCTGGACTGGGGAGATCCAAGCCGCGATTTTAGCCTCATCTCCCCCTCACTTGCCCAGGAATCTTACCGTCCTTGTTTGTAAATTAAAGATAAGGAGTTGTGAAGGTAAAATGAGAACCATGAAATTGGAGGCAACTTGAACAAAAGTAAAACGCACCACGCAGAATGCAAAGTATTTTTCTTGTACCTTGAAAACAGAGGCCATGTGGTGGCCTGTTACATATCCTGTCATACTCTCATATGGGCAGCCAGAGTTTTAAGCAGAAACTGTCACAAGGCCGGTTGTGACTGGATTGGTGTGGCAGTGACAGGTCTTTGGTCAAGCTGCTCCGTTGCTCCAGACCTCCATTTCCCCTATGAAAATGGGGGTAGTCGGGGGTTGGACCAGATGGTCTTTCCTGGCCTAAAGACAGACCAGGTTGTCAGTGACAGGCAGAGGTCATGTGACTTGACAGGCCGAGGTCGTGTTGTGACTTGTTGACCTGGGGAGGCGGGTCAAGTCCCAGCACCCTACCCGGGAAGCTTTTGAGGCGGGGCACGGCAAGTCGCGACTTTCATCTTTCGGGGCTGGCCCCTCCCAGACCTGGCATTCCTGGCTCCCGCAACAGATTGTGGCTTTGGAAGGGGCCCCTCCCCGAGGAGGGCTGGGATTGGCCACCAGTGGCCTGGGAAGAGGCGCAGATCCTTCCGCGGAGGGCGGGGGGGCCGCGTGGGGTGTTTGTTCTCTTGGGGATTAATGGGGGGTTGTGGGGGAGGGGTAGGCGCGCTCCCGCATGCGCACTGCAGCCCCTCCAGTTGGCTCGTCGCTGTCCGCTGGGCGGGGGCCCGGCCCCGCCCCTCTCCCGTCCGGGCAGCGGCGGAGGCGGCGGCGGCTGCGGCGGCGGCTGCGGCAGCGACGACGACGGCGGCGGCGGCAGCGGCAGCAGCCTGCGCAGTGCCTTCTGGGAACGGAATCCCCAGGGCTGCCCCTGGCCCCCATGGCGCATGCGCGGGAGGCCGCTCGGTGATCCGCGGCGGCGGCAGCAGCGCTTCCTGCTAGGACCGGCCGGGGCCGTACCGGAGGCTCGGGCTCCACCGACCCTCCTCCCACCCCCCTCCCACTCACCCTCTGGGCCGCGACTGCGCTGGGCGGGGCCGGCCGAACCATGGGCCGCGGTGAGTGTGGGGCCCGGCCCCCCCACCCCGCCCCTCCCCCTCCCCTTCCCTCCCCACCCCTCTCCTCCAGTCTCTACCCTCTGCCCCCTCCGCGTCCTCTCGGCCCCTTTCCCCGGCCCCATCCCTACTCCCCCGCCCTCACCTGCCCCCGCCGCTTCTCCCTCTTTACTGCCTGACTTCTGCCTTCCTCACCGTCCTCCCCTCAGTGCTTCGCCCACCCTCCTCCCGCCCTCTCCCCAAGTTCCTTCCTACTTCGTGCGCCTTCCCCTCCTCCTCAAGCTAAGGGAAGCAGTCTGGGTGACAGGGCGCCTTGTTTTGAGAGCGAAAGTTTGGAAGCCGCCAGTGTGGGGTGGGAGCGGTGGTGAGGCTGGGGAGGATACCTGCAGGTCGGAGGGGTGTCCCTAAAGGAGGAGAAGCTCTCTTGGAGATAATCGGAAGCCAGTGGGATAGGAGGTTATGAATCCCTTTGCCTCAGGCTTGAGGGAGAATCAGGAGCTTCTCAGGATCCTGGGAGAAGACTGAGCTGTGATCCTCACCTCTTAAGACTCGTATGAGCTAGATCAGTGATTGTCTGATGGAGCAGGCATGAGGGGAGTTCTGCGGGTACCACCCCAGCGGGGCAGTTGGACAATTGCCTGGTGACCTCTGGGGCAATCTGTACTTTTTATATGATCTTTCTGGGTAGGGAACAGCAGGAGCCAGAAACTCTGGGAAACTTCCTAGTGGCCTAGCACTATGGGAATGTGCCGATACTCCTGGTTGAAGTCTTCTATTCCGAATGGACAGAGGCCTTGCCCTTCATATGTCTAAGAATTGGGCTAGACTTTCTTGGTCTCTGGGAGCTGAGGCTCTGACCCTCTGGTCCCTAGGGACTGGGCTTGGAAAGGATGGCTGTAGACTCAGCCAGCAGATCCCTCAGGTCTTAATAGGTACTTACCTCACGTTGAGGATCTTTCTCTTGAGAGGATGCTGGGCTGTGATGCTCTTCAGAGTTGGGCAGACTCCTGACAGTCCCATCTCTCTCCTTGTGTTGCAGGTGTGGGCTAAGCTGGTGGCCCCGGCTTTTGACTGGACCCCACAATGTTTGCAGAGATGTTCAGGTAGTGATGGTGATACAGCAGTTCCCTCCCAGCTCTCTGAAGGGTTCCCTTTGCTCCTCTAGGGCTTTCCCTGAGTTTTCTTGGGTCTCCCCACCACCTTTGCCTTCCTGGAGTTCTCCCTCAGGTACCTCACCCAGTTTAATCCTCCTAGTGCCTACATGGATGTCTGTGTTATCAGGCACGCGGGAGCTGATTACACACAATGAATGGGGGCAATGAGAGCAGTCGAGCAGACAGAGCTGGGGGCCCTGTGGCCACATCTGTCCCCATTGGCTGGCAGCGCTGTGTGCGAGAGGGTGCTGTGCTCTACATCAGGTATGGATTTTCACAGTTCCCCAAGCTCTACCACTCCAGTTGCCCGGGTTTTCTTTCTTCTGCCTCTTCTTCAGCCCAGCTCCCCTCCTTTCCCCTTCCTTCCTCAGCCTTTTTGCTTTCGGTAGCTCTGGGCCTTTGAATCCATTCTCCCTCTTTCCATGTCTTCCCACATTCCTTACCCTCTGTTCTTCTAGGAGGATCTGTAACTTAGACCCTGGGCTTTAGGAGTATTGCCTGATTCACTGCCTGCTAACCCCATGTCCTCTGACCCTGTCCTCTCCCAGTCCAAGTGGCACAGAGCTGTCTTCCTTGGAGCAAACCCGGAGCTACCTCCTCAGCGATGGGACCTGCAAGTGCGGTCTGGAGTGTCCACTTAATGTCCCCAAGGTCAGAGTGGTGAGGGGTGCCTGAGAATACAGAGATAAGCTGAAAGACTTAATGCAAATCACTGATCAAGGTAGCTCTTCTCACAGATTCCAGCCCCTCATGGTCCCTGTGCCTTCCACCTTACAGGTTTTCAACTTTGACCCTTTGGCCCCGGTGACCCCGGGTGGGGCTGGGGTGGGGCCGGCATCAGAGGAGGACATGACCAAGCTGTGCAACCACCGGCGGAAAGCTGTTGCTATGGCAACTCTGTACCGCAGTATGGAGACCACCTGCTCACACTCTTCTCCTGGTGAGTCTTCTGCCACTTTATAGAAGACTAAGGAAAACCTAAGGGCTTGGAAGGCTGGTGGTGGGAAGCTCCATGAGAGGGGCAAAGAGAAGGGGGAGTGGGTGGGGAGCTGCATGGTGAGAGGAGGGAACAGGGAGGTTGGGAACTTGTGGGAGATGGAACTAGAGAAGACAAAGTTTTTCGAAGGGGAGCCACAGACTGACTCTTCATTTTTCATTTATTGCAGGAGAGGGAGCGAGCCCCCAAATGTTCCACACTGTGTCCCCAGGGCCCCCCTCTGCCCGCCCTCCCTGTCGAGTTCCTCCTACAACTCCACTTAATGGGGGTCCTGGCTCCCTTCCCCCAGAACCACCCTCAGTTTCCCAGGCCTTCCCCACTTTAGCAGGCCCTGGGGGGCTTTTCC